ATTTACCTGCTGGTGCGGCAGTTTTGGCCGATCGCAGCCTCCACTCGCTGCGGTTCGCTGTCCCGGGCCAATGGGGGCAGCGGGAAGCTGTGGCCAGCATATCTTTCGCCCGCGCCACTTCTCGCCGCCACCATTGGCCCAGGACGGTGAACCGCGGCGAGTGGGGGCCGCGATCGGCCGAACCTGCCACGTCAGCAGGTAAATAAACTGGCCCAGCCTGCCAGGGTGCTTACCCTGGCGAGCCGCGTGCAAATGTTGCCGACCCCTGATCTAGATAATTAAGTCCAAAGCAAACTGTGAAGAGTTACAAAGGGATCTCACAAAACTGAGTGACTGGGCAACAAAATGTCAGATGAAATTCAGTGTTGATAAATGCAAAGTAATGCACATCAGAAAACATAATCCGAACAATACAGACAAAATGATGGAATCTAAATAAGGTATCACCACTCAAGAAAGTGATCTTGAAGTCACTGTGGATAGTTCTCTGAAAACATCCACTCAATATGCTGGAGCTGTCAAAAAAGCTAACAATGTTAGGAACCGTTAGGAAAGAGAGAGATGATAAGATGAAAAAAATTATAATGCCTCTATAATATAAATCCATGGTATGCCCATATAATGCTGAATGCAGATCTGGTTGCCCTGTCTCAAAAAAGATATATAGGAATTGGAAAAGGTACCGGACGGGCAACAAAAATGATTAGGGCTATGGAATAGCTTCTGTGTGAAGAGAGATTAAAAAGACTGGGACTTTTCAGCTTGGAAAAGAGATGACTAAAGGGGATATGACAAAGGTCTATAAAATCTTGACTGGTGTGGAGAAAATGAATAAGGAAGTGTTTATTTGCACCTTTACATAACACAAGAACTAGGGATCACCCAATGAAATTAATAGGCAGCAGGTTTAAAACAAACAAAAGGAAGTACTTCTTCACACAACGCACAGTCAACCTGTGGAATTCTTTGCCAGAGGATGTTGTGAAGGTCAAAACTCTAACAGGGTTCAAAAAAGAACTAGATAAGTTTATGGAGGATAGGTCCATTAATGGTTATTAGCCAGGGTGGGCAGGGATGCAACACCATCTAGCCTCTGTTTTCCAGAAGCTGGGGATGGATCACTTGATGATTGCCTGTTCTGTTCATTCCCTCTGAAGCACCTGGCATTGGCCACTGTCAGAAGAGAGGATACTGGGCTAAATGGACCATTGATCTGACCCAGTGTGGCCATTATTATGTAAATTTCAACAAGTGCTTAACTCTATGCATATGTAGCCTTTCCAGGATTGACTGGTTACAGAACAGATCCCTCCAGAGCAGCTATTTGTTTACCTGTTGCTCCAAATGTAATAAACAGCATGAATTAATTGGAGGTGCATTAGAATAGTTTGGTTTCATTCAAAAGAAAATACAGCAGCACAGGGAAATATCCAGGCTTAGCATATCATGTGAATCTGCCAAGTATGAAGTCTAAGGGCACATATACTCAAAAATATAAGTCAGCCTATGTTAGGTTGACATACAACCACAGCAGTGATTAGTGTTGTGTTTGATATCCACGCTACCTTCCTCTTGTGAGTGGTGTGCAATCTGACTTAAGGGGCAGTGTGGCCACTGGTAGCCCGGCTCTCGGCTCCCTGCCAGGCTGCGCCCTGGGCTCCCCACAGGGAGCCTGGTGGCTACCCCAAAGTTCCCCGGCGTCTGTCCCAAGGCTCTTTGCCGGGAGCTGCCCAGACTCAGGACATGGAACTCCCCTGCTGGGATCCCAGCTGAGAGCCGGGGGGAGTGAGAGGGGAGAAATCTGGGCTCCTAGCAGCAGGGAGCCAAGAGCCTCCAAGCAGTACCAGCAGTCCTCGCAGGGAGTGGGTACCTGGGAGCCTCTGTGCAGAACCAGGGCTCCCTGCAGCTGTGACAGCCAGCTTTCTTGTCTGTTTCATGGACCATGAAATTGACAAGAATGACAGCCAACAGCCAGTATAAGTATAGTGGCTACAGGGACACTGAATCGCTCTAACTACACCAATATAAGCCCTATGCCTCTTGTGGAGATAGATTTATGGCGGCCTAGTAGGGCACTTACAATGGCTGTAGTGTGTACACTGACATAATTAGGTGTGCCTTACATCGACCTAACTCTGTAGTGTAGACCAAGCCTAAGACATTTGTATGATATTTTTCTTACTACTAATGACACAACAAAGATCAGCCCTTAAATACTGAAATAGTTTTCAAGATCTTAGAAATTTATGAATGTACTATACAAATCTTTCAATGCCTATCTTTTACTTTCTACTTGCTTGTTTACAATGTTTCTTACTCATTTGTATGGTTGTGAAATTAACATGTCCGTGTCTTTGCTTCCCATCCTCTAGTGCCTGAAGCATTTTTATTCATGTATCCAGTTACAGCTTTGGCCAGCACAGCTTTGGAAATGTTTTTTATAACTACTGCTGTAGAATTAGCTGAAGATAACTGACTTTTAAAGTGATTAATTTCACATTAGTTACACTGAATGTTTTACAAAACTTCTATTGCTCATACTGATATTTTAACATAATTGTGTCAGGTTAAATATATCAGGATAGCATTATAGACATTGTTCTTTCTAGCTTTCTCTCCTTATGAATCTTTTTAGTTAGTTATTGGGAGCTATTAGGAGTTAGTTAATGGTAGCTTGTAAATAGCTTGAGTACCGTTAGTGTTCGTGTCCAAAGAGAGAGGGTGTTACAGTTATGTCTGCAATTAATGTTTAGAAAGAATATATGTTCATAGGTTTCAGAGAGTTCATATGGTTCTTAACCAAAAAAAAAGTTAAATTGAACATGATAGTAAATTACATCTGTCACATTCCCCCATGATATTTTAAAACTTATGGTGTCACAAGACCCACAGAGTTTGGCACAACTTTATTATTTTCCACAGAGTAGTACCCTAAAACATCCAATATGGTGTTGAACTGTAGCTAATCGATGACCTCAAAATGATTTTTTTTTAATGAATTTATTGTGCAGTGCTGAGCATATTATCAGCGTTCAGGATAAATAACAATTAATTACAGATGTAAGATGTCCTATGACTTACGTTTTCACGTTCATTTAGTGATCTACATTCTTAAGTGGAATTGCTACAGAAACCACACGTGTAAATGTTTCCATTAAAATGTGTAAATATTTTTTCAATATGACAGCAATGGTCTCTAGTGCCATCTATTGACAAGTAGTAGGAATTGACAAGTGGAACTGGCTGAAAGTCAAAATTTCCTTCTGTAGGAAATTCCAAAATTTTGAAAACAAATTTAGTTCTGTTTTGCAGCAAAATGTAGAATTTTTGAAATTTCTCACAAAAGGGGAGAACCTTAAACTCTTTTGGAAATAATTTAAATGTATTTTGTTTCAAAAATTGTGAAAGGAAGTCGAATCTGGGTGACGAGGCTCCCAGCTCAGCTGTGGCTCTGAGGGCTTCTGGGCTCCTACCAGGAAACT